GGTACCTTACAAGTCCAGACATACAGACATTCCTAGGCAAGAGAGAGCTCATCTGAAAATAATAACATGAAACAGATTTGCTTTTCTACAGTTCATCATCATCGCTATCTTTACAACAGTCTTTAGCTGGCCAAAAAGCTAAATATCTTCTTAGAGCAGCATGTAGGAGATTGATCTGATTGTGCCGACTCCTTTTTGTGTCCAAAGAGGGACATGTACAAGGGCAGACTAATTTTCCTTCTGACTGCACTCCAAGAAAGAGTAGGACCCATCTCCTACCATCCCACTATTGTATCACACACATGGATTAGTTTATGGCTTCATTTGAGGATGTGATGTTTGCATTCTTAACTTTTTCTTGTCAAGCTCTACTATAGCTACAGAAGACGATGAAATTAAAAGAATACTGTCAGATCTTAGAAGAACCCAACCATGTGTAAGGCTCCAAGAGCAAACCTCAGTTTTAGAGTCACAGAAATTAAATCATAGAATGGTTTAGGTTGAAAGGGACCTTGAACATCATCCATTTCCAACTCCCTGCCATGGGCAGGAATACCTTCTACTAGACCAGGTTGTTCCAAGCCCAGTCCAACCTGGCCTTGAACACTGCCACTGAACACAGCTTCTCTCTGGGCAACTGCCCTGGTTTCAACTGTAAAAGGTATTTTGGTTTTGTTTTTTTTTTTTTTGTTTTGGTTTTACTTGTTTTGTTTTGGTTTTTTGTTTCTTTCTTTTCCTAGTAGCTGGTGCAGTGCTGTGTTTTGGCTTTAGTCTGAGAACAATGCTGATTACACACTGATGTTTTAGTTGTTGCTCTGTAGTGCTTACCCGGGGCAAGGACTTTTTGCTCTCAAGCTCTTCTAGTGAGGAGGGGCACAAGAGGCCAGGAGGAAGCAGAGACAGATCACCTGAGCCAAACTACCCAAAGGGGTATTCCATACCACAGCATGTCATGCCCAGTGTATAAACTGAGGGCAGTCACGCAGAAGGCCGAGATCGCTCTTTAGGTCACGCTGGGTATCAGTTGGCGAGCGGTGAGCAACTGCGTTGTGCATCACTTGTGTTTATTGATTATTTTTCCTTTGCCTTTTTAGTTTTATGTTCTCTCCCCTTGTTATTTCCCTTATCATTATTACTATGATTAGTAGTAGGAGTATATCGTACTTCAGTTATTAAACTGTTCTTATCTCAACCCGTGGGATTTACCTTATTTCAGTTCTTTTCCCCATCCCACCCAAGGAGGGGGGAATGAAGAGAGTGAGCAAACGGCAGCATTGTATTGAGTTACCAGCTGGGTTTAAAACACAAAAGCAACCTATTCCAGTGGCTCACTACACTCATAGTGAAGATTTTTTTCCTAATATCTAATCTAAATCTCCCCTCTTTCAGTTTAAAGCCATTCCCAGTTGTCCTATCACTACAGGCCATTGTAAGTAGTCCTTCTCCAGATTTCTTGTAGCCCTTTTTAGGTACTGGAAGACTTTTATAAGGTCTCCCTTGAGCCTTCCCTTCTCCAGGCTGAGCAAGCCCAACTCTCATGAGGCCACTGAGCAAAATAGTTCTGTCTGAAGATGCTATAACATATGGCAAAGCAAATAAGGGTAAACATAATGCAAATGCAAACTATCTGTGTAAGGTTAGTGACTGATGCACAAGAGGAAAAAAAAAAAAAAGAAAAGAAGAAACAAACCCCTAAATTGTATGCAAAAATTAAAAAACTGACTGATTTCAATTATAAAATAGAAAAGTTTAGGATATGTATGAGGAAAACAACTTGATAAGTTGGATTCATGTAGATTCTTGAAAACTGTACCTAAAGGGTATCGGCTTTTAAATTCTGCTGTCTAAGGCACCCAGAAGGCTCCTTGCCTGTTTAAAGCAGGTTAGTTTTAATTTACCACACTGTAGTCTAGGGCATTAAAAGCACAATTAAGGAAATTGATCTATTGGAAAGAAGAGAATTCAAAAACTATGGAAACTGGTCTACTAGATTATTGAAATTTTAAGCTGAGGACACATGGTATTGTTAACTGGAATTGGGAAGCCATTTTACATAATGCAATTTCCTATGTTTTAATTGACTTAAGAAGTGTCCACTGTAATATTTTCTCTTTGGTATATTCTTTAAGTGACAAAAATAAAAAAATAAAAAGGAAAAGGCCAACAAAGATTTTCAACAGTAAAAGAAGCTATAAATTAAACCAGTGAAATATTGCAACAGAACTTGAATGAAATCACAGGTATTTTTTTTAATGACTGCCACAGCCATTCAGAGCTAGCAGTAATAGTGAATCTGGAAGAAAGAATTATCAGCACAGTACAAGTATGTTGGAGCAGATGGCCTCTTCTTTAATTTTTATCTTCTAAGGCATTCGTATTATAACTCAGGCCAATTTTTTATTGTCAAGCCACTTGGAAATGTACCAAGTAATGATGATCTGATTGGAAACCTTAATTATATCTCCAGTGTTCACCTTCAAGGTTTCTTGTCATTTTCTGTTGTGCTAGATAGGAAGCAGTGAGAAAATAAACTGTTTAGCCAAACACATGCTTCCTGTCAAATCAAACCTAAAGCAGGAAGGAGGTGAAAGCAAAGTGTTGTTTCTGGGATCAAATCAGCTTTTGAACCTAAAGGCTTTCAGCCTTTCAGTGGCTCTCAGTGATACAGGATACTTGGTTACCACAATTATTATCAGTAAAACAAACAAATTGTTACTGTATTAGGGGCACTCAAAAGGCTGATGTGAAAGTAGGGACTGAACTATAGAAGTGTATCCAATGCATTGAGCTCTTTTGAAAAATTCTGCTATGGAAAATTAAAAAGACAAGCTGGGGGATTTTGACCAGCATACACGTTACTTTAGCAGTGGTTTCACAGGCTAATCTTCTCTTCCCAGCAATGGTGAACTGAACTGAGAAACTGAACCAGTTTTGAAATAAAGGAGAAAAAGTAAAAGGTTATTCAGCAGGCAGAATGCCAACCAGTTTCCTTCCTGCCTACCCAAAGGCTGATAAGGTCACAGTGCAAGGGCTGGTGTAAGCTGGGTTCATGAAACAGGAAGTGGAAAGAGCTGGTCCTCTGAGTGCCCTGAGCAGCACTGCAGCTGAACCCACCATCCTGACTCTAATTTTAATTGCTCTATTCTTTGTCCAGCTTCCAAGTTCAATCCTCGTGAAGGTCTGTGTGCTGTCTTCTGCCCTGAGAGGAAACCTGAAGGTGATCAGAGTAAACCTGCAGTTTTCTGGTATTAGAGCACCGCTATATTCAGAATTAATGGTTGAAGGGTTGATGTAGTTGAGACCAAGCCATTAGGCCTTAGTTGAAATAACTTTGCTTTTTAGCATGACTATGACTTAGCACCTAAACGTGACTGCTAGCTCAACCGGGGGCCCCTCTGTGGGTGGGGAACTGCTCTTCTGCTTGCTTAGCAAGGGAGCCCTTTGAGGGTGGGAACCTGCCCTTCTGGTGAGGCATGATAAGCAGTATATTAGAATTCGAACCTGTAGACAGCTTGCATCTGCTTCTGTAAATTGCTTCTAAGCAGGGACATCCCTAATGGTAAGGTATGATAACAATTTGAAATAGTAATTTCCAAGTACTATGTGCAGTGAAGTTACATCTTGCTGCATCTTATCCAAAGGTGGTAGTGCATAACTGTCTGTAAGAGCATTTTTGTAGAAAAGCCAAAGGGTGAGTAAGAGTATCCCCCCCCGCCCCCAGCCCCAACACACAAGCTTTAATTGCCTGTTTATACATCATGTGAGAGTCTCTGAAGACTCCCTAAACAACTTTGAAAGTGGGAGTTATCAAGAAAGTGGGAGTGGTTTTGAAAGCGGGAGTTATGAAGAAAAGGCCCCATTTAAGATTAAATTGCTTGCCTTCCTAGCTTATTTGCATGATCAACAGTAAGCAGTTCATTATGGTTTTGCCGGAGCACACCTTAGGAGAAATTTCATTACAAACTACCTTTGTAATAAACACATGCTGCCATCACAGTAAGAAACAAAAAATTTGGTCTGTTTTTGCATTTGCTAGTACCTGTAATGAATTCCATTCACCTCAGAAGTAAGAGAGAGCTGGCAGTAACTGTACATGACAAACCTGAATTGCCATAAGAAATAATATCGTCCCTTACAGTGTTCCTGTTCTCCCAGCACCATGTTTCTGTGGTAAATTGCAGCAGCTAAACTAAGCAGGGACCTAACCTGTAATACAACTCATCCAGATTTCCTCCTTTCCATTCCACCAAAAGAAGCAAATAAAAGTCAGCTGCATCAGCTAAACCTAAACAAGCACAGACAGATGAATGAATGAACATATGAAAGAAAGATAAGACTTGTCTCAGTTGCAGCTTCAAGTTGTGTATGGCAAAACATTTCAGGTCCTAATCATTAGGATTATGGTGGTGCCTCTAGAAGAACTTTACTTATAGGAAGATGCAATATTGTTAAGAAAAATAACTTTATTTTTGCATACTCACTGGTAAAATAACCTGGAATACAAGTTGAGCTTGACAGAAGAAGAAACCAGCAGTTCCACCAGTGACACTTAAGACATTGCTGAAGTTCTTTAAAGTTTTTGAGAAACTCGAGTCATTTTGGATTCAAAGGCAAGATTCCTGATACAGTGAAAAGTGTAAAATTCCAAGTCTAACTCTCATCAGGCACAAAACTTAAGTTTCCCTGAGAAGATGTAATTACAAACTAGCGTATAAACTTTATATCACATTATTGTGGGGTTTAAGAGTACAAAAGCAAGATTTGACTACAAAAATTTGAACACAAGTCCTTAATACTCCATGCTGAAGTTGAAATATTCAGGAGGATTAAGAATTACATATTACAGAATTACAGCAATCAGATTTAAATTAAATGAAAACAGCTGGCTTTGGTATATTCCCTTTTATATAGTTTTCAGATTAATTATAGTGTTATTTTCCTGAGATCTTTCAGCACTCACTACAAAGCCTGTGCAGTCCAGCTGCTTTTTCCCCCCTTAATTCCTGCCTCTTCATATTTCCCTTTCAACTAGCATTATATTCATGCAAAAAAAACCCCTGACAAATAATCATGAGCAACATGCATTTTCCAAGCCTTGAAACAAATAGTTTAGCCAAAGGAAGCCCATTAACTACATCTTTTAGGTAATAAATATTCCAAGTAGTTGACCTTTCAAAAATTGCTATCTTCTATTTTATACCTGAAGTTTTAAACATCAGTGTGCAACACAAGTCATCCCCATCTTGATGTCTTTTGTCCCCCTTGTCTATGAACAAGTCAGGGAGGGTGTCATCACCACCATATTGACATGGTGAGAACCATTATACCCATGATCAGCATCACTACCGTTGGCATTACATGTTAAAAGTACATAGCTGTATACTATTTGTACCTGTGTTTTGTCACAGGAGCATGCAGTATTTCAGTTCTTCTGCAGATATAAAGCTTTGTGTCGCAAATACTCTTCCAAACATTTCACTGCAAAAGGGTCAACATCAGTGTCAAACTTATTAGCAAAGAAGTGGTGGTTTCGTAACATCCAGTTTAGGTCTCCTACCCCAAAAACACAGACAGAACGAACATGAACTCCACTGCATGGTGGGTAGGGTGCACCTTTGGACACATCCCCTTCAAAGTACTGCCACTTGACAAATCGGGCCAATGCATTCATGTCAGAAACATCATATTTGTCACTAGAAGAAACTGCACCTGGGACTTCAGGGATTCTCTGAATTGTGGCCCACAAGTACTCATCTGGGCTGTAAGTATCTTTTGCCCATTCAATGAACTTAAGTATTTTGCTGCTTTCTAATACGTATTCAACAAATTTTCTGCTAACTACAAAATAGGCACTACCAGAAAAAACTGGAGTATTGAGAGGTGGTAGTTGTTTGTCTATGCCTGTGTTCTTTATTTTACCATCAATAATCTCATGGTGTTTTTTCCACCTTACTTCTTTATAAACAGGCATTTTTTCTGTTTCCAAGCTGTTTTCACCTTTAAGGGCTTTTAATTTCTCTACTATTTCCTGGTTGGTCTTTATTGGAAAGTCCATGCCACAGAGGTTTATTAGGTATTTCCAGTTTGAACTTCTTCTGTAGAGGTCTTTCATGCAGTTAATGTCTGCCTGCACTCTACTCCATGAAGCATATACAACACTCTCTAACTGACTAGAAATAAAGACATTATCAAAACATGAGACTATTCCCCTCACAGCAGCAAAAAAAGATTCTGGAGACTTTTTGTCAACATGAATGCAATAAAAATTCTGAGGGGCATAGATTGACCTTAGAAGTCTGTCAAGCATCTCAATTTTGTGATAAACCACTATTGAGTAAGCTATTGGAAATTCTGCTTCTTCATTGCTGAGAGGTTCCATAATGTATTTCCTAGTCTTGGTGAAGGAGGCACAGTCTGCTGTCATGTTAATATAATCATTCGTTGTTACTCTGGAACGTTTCTTAAATGACACTGACAACATCTCAAGCTTTACCTTTTGAATTTCTTCTATATCCCCCTCTATAATCTTGGTGCAGTTAACATTGCCAACAGGATCTTCTTGCGTCAGCTCAAGATGTCTCTGATTTAAGAAGTCTTGTTTCTGGTTGACTTTCAAAACTGAAATGATTACTACAATTAGAGTTAAACCCAAGAAAAGCCTGAAGCGTAAGTTGTGGCAAAACCGTAATTTCCTCTTCAGCATTTCAAATACTAGGTAGATTTGTAGGGCTAAAAAAAATCACCTTCCTCTCTGCTCATGTCAGCTTTAACAACTTCAGGAAAAATAATTTCTCTTTCTCAGGAATTTGGTGAGTTGTTGAAGAAAAAATCCTAAAATAAAATTAAATATGACTGTCATTCAAAGACTAAAAGGTTTCTTTAGAAAGTTACTGATTAATATTACATTGTTATTTAGAGACAGTAAGAAGGTGAATACATTAGCCAAAAATGTTCTATTGAAAATTAGAAATTAATGAACAAAATTAGTTTATTTTTGTAGAAAAAGTTTGGAAGAGGCAGATAGTTTTCATGAGACACTACTAAGTATAGTACTAAGACAACAAACAGAAGTTCAGTAAGAAAACAGAGGTGATTCAGCTGCATCTGGCAAAATTAAAGCCAGTAAATCAGATATATTAATGAGAAGCAATAATTTGGTGCTAATTCATGCTTCAGAGTTTGGCAAGAATGTTTTATACTCACTTCAGCATTGACTTGTATTTCATCATAACTTACCACTCACTTCCTGGATGCTAGTCATGTGTTATCTTCTCGCTGGGAAAGCAGACCCTGAAGCCTTTCAAGATTTTTGTGTGAGATAGTGTCTTCAACATCCTTCAGATGAGCTTAGAAATACCATCAGGACAGAGCTGATGAGAAGAGGAGAAAGAAATTAGTATAGCATAGCTCCTCAACTTTCAGAGCAGTGAGAATACCTGTGACTGAATTGCTGAAGTACCTTTTTAAGGTCAAACGCAAAACTTAGGGCTTATCTCTAAAGCTGATTTGTGCTGTCACTGCAAATGCAAGTATCTAAGAGCACAACAGTGTTGTCTTACTATTGTTTAAACACACATGGTTTTTATGATTCAGCAATTGCTTTTGTGTGAAAATATGTCAGGCTGAGTTACAACAAGATTTATAACCTGCCAGTCTTATTTTCACCTTTATTTCACAGGAGCTACATAATTTTTGTTTGTTAACCCTCTTTCTCCTTAAGCACCTTTTTTCTGCTTCAGTACTCTGTGAGAGGAATACCGCACTATAAAGCAAGCAGCTACAGCTGTAGCAGTTGAGAAAACTGCAGTCAAGAACTGGATTACAGAACTAGGTGTCTTTTTCTGTAAGTACTACCCCAGGCAGGTAAACTGATCAAGAACAGGGTACGCTTAAACAACTTACATTGCCACTCAAATGCCATTTGTACTTACATTGCCTAATAATTCAGCGCACATCTGCATTTCAAACCAACCTCCAATTGCAAAAGCCCATACAGTTTATAGAGAATGTCTTCAAAATTTTAATCTGAAATTTAAAAGGTTTATGAAATATTGAAGTACTTGGGAGATCTACAGCTCCCCTCATTTTTTACTACATTCAAGAAAAAAAAAATAGTGCCTCTGAATCACTTTCTGAACAGCTCTAAGCATAACTGCTACTCCCCAAAAAACTGGTAAGAAATTTTTCTCAAGTGTACACTGTGTCAGCATTTTTCTTCCTCCTACTCAACCCTCCCCTCCCCTTTTCTTGAAGCTACTCCAGTATCATTTTAGCTTTTAATTCTTGGACTGTGGCTTTTAACCTGCTACTTGCAAACCTCAGAACATGTGCACATAAGAAATTAAGGCCTGGCATTAAATACTACCAAGTTTTTTGGTAGCAATGCTGCCACCGGGATGCACTACGTGTTGGGTCCCCCACTCCGCCCATAGCACTGCAAACTGATGGGGGAATTGATCCATGTTTAGTAGATGGGAGGAAGATGAAGATCACTGCACAGAAGTCTAGCACAGCAGTGATGATCAGCAGTATTTTAAGGAAGTATAGTAAGCAAACATTTTGTAATTCAAGCCACTAGCAGGCAGCAACCACAAACTATTTATGGTTAACAGCATTTATGACTAACAGCATTATATAAATATCTTACTTACTATAAAGTGTAATTTGTTTTCAGAATGACACCTGTAATTATTGTATCCTGCATTTCTAATTTATCTTAGGGAGGTGGACCTTTGTTCCAAGTCTGTTTTAGGTGTCAAACTGGAAGAACTAAAATTTTGACCCTTAAGGTAAGTGTGCACTTACAGCTGAAAGCATAGAGAGGAACCTTTGAAGTATCAGGTCTCACACAAGGAATTTGAATTAAAAACAAAAAACGAAAAACAACAAACCCACAACAAAAAAACCAACCAAACATTAAAAAGGGGAAATTCCACGATTACCACTTTTTGTTTGCAATGTAGCATCAAACACAAAGATATAATTTAAAGCAAATTTTAATATGCTTTATAACTTATCACACACTTGCTTACTTGATGTCCTGTTAGTTTTGACTAGTAGATCAGATCCAATAAAAATAAAATCCATCACACGTGAAATTAACAAAGGAAGGATGCTAGCCTTGTCATAGTCTCCCTAATGTCTATCAGGTATATATTTCCATAGGATGAAGCCTGATACTGGTTACCCTTAAATTAGTTCTCTGTGTACCAACATAGAAATTAAGATTTTTCTAGGACTTAAAACGTATTTCAAATGCACTTTTATTTGTGAAGCTTTACCTTTTCTTGAGGATGAGAGTTAGCACTACTATTTTATCCTATATTCAGTTTCTATAGGATCACTTGCTCCACTAGCGTTGTGGAGTAATGCTCACTTGAGAAGGATTGCCACCCCCTTCCTGTGTTTTATAATGCAGGGAGAAAGAGCCTTAAATGAAAGCTACCATTGCAGTCTTCACCTTCTACAACTTCTGAAGAATAAAGCTTGCTAAAGAGCCTTCCTGCTTCTGTTTTGGAGCAAAACTTAGTTGAAGGTAGGAAAAAAAATCTCTTTCAGAAAACCTTGTACACCCAGCTGGGTGCAATTCCTATATTGTTTTGAGCTCAGAATAATCAAACCCTAAGTTGCCATTGTACCAAAAAGAGATCTGCAAACATTTATATGTTAAACATGGCTCTTCACTTTAGGTGGAGGTATTTCCCCACCGTCAAATTTGTATCACCAATACGCTGCTTCCTTTGAACAGTCTTAACGATAAGTATTGATTTGTTTATGCTATTTCTTTTCTAAAAAAGTCCTAAAACTTAATCATATCCCATTCTTTGCAAAAGTTAACCTTTACAGGATAAGGAAAGCTTTGGTATATTTTATCTAATAATAGACCTGGGTTTTGTTTTATAAAGTTTTATGAGCCTAGAATACTCATTAACAAAGCTTCAGACTCCATTCAGTAAAGCTTTTAACGCCTTTTTCTCAAGCTCTACTTAGCTTTACTGTGCACACTAGAGAACTCACTATCAGAAACAGTACTTTGCACTGTGGGAGAGCAGGAGGGAGGTTTGCTCAACCACAAATAAAAGACTATGCTGCAGCCTCAGTCTTGCTCACAACTGAAGTTCACTTTCAGAAGTTATGTGCTTGCCTCACTTCCTTCCTTTACTTCGTTCTATTCAAGTCAGAGCTTGTATTTCTATTTTAAATCTCCATTTCTGGCATCTCTTCCATGTCAGAGGGCAAATCACTCAGGTCATCTGTGTCTGTGAAATAGGTACTCCCAGACTGCCAGGTAACATATGTCTACATAACAGTCACATTCTGATTTAACTTTTATGTTATTGTAAAGATGGTACTGTAAGACAATTGATTTCATTAACAATGTCTTTACCTTTTTATTGTATAAACTTGTGTTATCTCTACATGCTGAGTTATTAATCTGACCCATGGTACTAACTGAACAAGTCAGCAATGGGTACTTACACCTTTGATGAAGGGGAGTAACCTTCATCAAAGAAAGGCTGTGGCCATGGACAAGAGGGAGCACTCTCAGAGCCCAGCTCAACATGTGACTGATTTTAGATAAGTTTGGCTTCACCCAACCTTGAAAACAAACAAAAAATCCTACAAGAAAACCAAGTCTTCAGAGGAAAAACCAAATCGAACAATTTAGAAGATTATACCACACACAGCTCAGAGACCAAAGTCCATACAGAGGTTTTACACAGACAGGCTGGACTGGTGCTGCACCACGCAATGGCAGTGCTATATCGACCCCTACATCCACATGTCGGGGCTGGTCCTAAGGAAGAGGATGTTTGCGAGGGTGCAGAGCCCTGCTACACCAGCCCTGACGAAGGGCAAGTGCCTCAGCCCAGAAACCAGCTTCTGGCTGCTGGCACCGCAGACCTCTTTGGCTGCAGTTTCATGGTGTGACTGGTCCAGTGCTGGGGCAGGAAGGATTCGGGAGCATATCCAAACAAACAGCTTCTGGGGAGTTCTCTGCAGTCTACTCTCATGGCTGCTGGCGGGGCCCTAAGGGCACTACTAGGCCTTGACAGGTCCAACCAAGGAGTGCTCAAGGGGTCTCAAGCATCTCTTGTACAATGAGAGGCTGAAAAAGCTGGCGTTGTTCAGCCCAAAGAGAAGCTGCATGGAGACCTCATAGCAGCCTTCCAGTACCTGAAGGGGGCCTATAAGGATGCTGGGGAGGGACTCTTCATTAGGGACTGTAGTGACAGGACAAGGGGTAATGGGTTCAAACTTAAAGTTCAGGATAGATATAAGGAAGTTCTTTACTGTGGGAGTGGCGAGCACTGGCACAGGTTGCCCAAAGAAGCTGTGAATGCTCCATCCCTGGCAGTGTTCAAGGCCAGGTTGGACAGAGCCTTGGGTGGCATGGTTTAGTGTGAGGTGTCCCTGCCCATGGCAGGGGGGTTGGAACTGGATGGTTTTAAGGTCCTTTCCAACCCTAACTGTTCTATAAATCTAACCAGCCCCTCCAAGCTACCTGATGGCCCCACTTCAGCCTCCTGGTGCTGTCAGCCCCTGCACCAGTGGCATCAAAGCCTGGCCATTGGCCCTGACAAGCTGGGCCCAGATCCCAGACCAGCTTGGCCTGTCCACACCCCCAGAAAGGTGCTGCCCCACACTGAGAGACAGGGTCATGGGGAGCTGCCATGGGGAGCCCCGGCCCTACAGCACCCTGAAAAACTCTTCTAACAACAACAGATTCCAGCAAACCTGTGGTCTGAGTTTTATGCTCTTGATTGGACTGATATAGCTGAGAGTGAGAGATGTGTCTTTTCCTAAACGAGGTTCAAAGCAATGGCAGCCTCTGATCAGTATCACACTAGGGTGGCACCACTCTTTGGGGATATTCATTTTGCCCAAGTTACACTGCCAGCATTGGGAAAACAGGGCTCTCAGGCATCGTACAACCTCCCTTGTGTCAATTTGTGTTAAACACATCACCGCCTTCCATCTTGTCTGAAGCAGTTTAGAGACCAGAATGAAACCCTAAACGAAATAGACGTTTTTTTGTATTTAAGCAATTACCATACATTTTTAGACTACATATATATTTTCCCTGCAAAAAGCAGTTAGGGCTTGCTGCAGAATGATACACAGACACATCTAATGACAGGACAAAAATCATTAGGGGCTGATGGCATGAGAAGAAAAAATAAATATAAACAAAACTACATGTATCTTAATTTTGACACTTCAGTCTTTTCACACATCAGTGCAAAAACTGTTAAGATGCTGAACACCAATTCAGCATCCAAAAAAGAAGCAATGTAGCCTCCTAAATACACCACGGGGAAGTATCAGTACCTGAAGTTCAGAAGGGGATAGGTAGAGAGTAAGTACTCTGAGGTACTTCAGAAGCCTGTAAATCTTGTGAAAGGCAGGAAAGAGCTTAGTTATCATAGGAGATGTCAGGATGTCAAAACGAGTTATAAGAGCAGGGAAGATCTTGATAAGTCTTGCAGGCTTAGCAAGTTCTGGTATCACAAGTCTCAGTGTTGTGGGCTGCTGAATTAACATGCCCCCAGCTCCTTCCTTTAATTTTTCCTATTATTCTGCTTCTTCTAACAAACACCAGATGAAGTAGATGGTGAGGTTTGCTCTCTTGTAGTTGCTTTGGTGACTTTTGGCATACAGCTGTTGTGGAGAGGACCCAGCAGCATGAACATTAGGCGGGCCTCTATTGCATGTCCACAGACACATTAGCTTTTAATCAAAGCTTTATGACAGGAAAACTTCCTGGCATTTCTACTAACACTCTACATCCATTCACGTCAACCTGATACTTCTATTTTTACAGAAATGTATTGAAGAAAAGCCAAACAGAAAACATAACGCTGAGTACCCCCACCTCTGAAGCGGTAGCTGGGATGGGCCAAGAGACAAGTAATCGTTCTCATGGGTGGGGATCTAGAGTCAGAACAGATTGATTTTTCCCTTTTCTTGCCTTGAAAGGAGGTAAGATAAAAGAAAAGTTCAGCTACCCCTGAGAATAGTAAATGAACAGGTGTTTACCAGATCCTTGCTGTTCTTTCCCCATTCACAAATTCCATCCGAGATCCAAAACTTTTCCTCAACACTTCAGAAGGTGGATTTGCCATAAAGTCCTTGAATTTACCAGGCATACCATCCATGCTTCACAGATTACATCTCCTGCAGGCAGTTGTTGCAATTAACGTGCTTCCACTCAGGTTCAGTCATGCAGAACGTTCGTTCTGATGAGGAAGTGATTTTTAAAGCTGTAAACAGCTTGCATAAACACAAACATACATAAGCACAAAGACGGACTGTCAGACACAGAGATCTGCCAGACACAGAATGGAGTCACATATACTCAGCATTTCCATGATATCAAGCAGTTACAATCTTGAAATCAGGTAGCCTGTAACTGAATTAAAGTAGTCATGTTTGTTCTGTTAAATAGCCTTCAGTCCTACTGAAAATAAGAAATGGTCCATAAACTGACTATTTAGGTTACTATTAGACTGTATGGGACAGTCTAATAGTAACCTATTCTAATTCTGAAATTCATGTAGAGCCAGCAGCAGGGTTCCATATGCATGCATTTGTCTGCTCACTGACAGCTCTCTGTAAGAGCAGGACTTTTTCTTCAGAGCTGCTTAAAAGAAAAACAGAAAAAAAACCAAACACAACAAAAAACAACCACTCAAAAAAAAATGAACATAAAAAATCCACAAAAAAAAACCAGAAACAAAAACAAAACACACTTCCTTTTTATAGAAAGAAATGACACATTTCTAGTCCTTTGTTTGCTTAGAAGGCAGGCTTTAGAGAAAGCTCCACAGACCACTCATACTGCTACACCTACCACTACATAGAGTTTAAATAGTGACAGAAGGTAGAAGTAGATGATAGCTGTTTTTCAGGGGGGATTGGAGGAAAGTGGAAAAATAAATTCAAAACCCTGGGTTATTTAGAGATCTTCTGTTCAAATGTCAGGACTCTGACATTCTAAACCTTTCCTCTTAAAAAAATAGTAAACCCCCCATGAATATACACTCAGTGTGTAAAACAGCACTGAATATATTTCAATTTTGGCAGCCTTTCCAGCATTCTCTTGTACTACTGTATAAAGTAAATCTTCCTCACAACAAAGTTCAAAGCCTAATTCTCATTTGTGTTCATGTCCATCCTTACAGGTCCCACAGGCAGAGATACAGGAGTAAGAAATTTCACCTAAGGAAAGAAAAAACATGGTGGCAATATCATTCTGTGACCAGTACTTACCTTGAGAAATCTGTGACTCTTAATACTGACAATAAGATACGTTTTACCTCAAGGTAACTTAACACTGAAATTATACTTACAAATCCCAAAATAAATGAAAAAAAAACAAAAAAACAAAAACCAAGAACCCACAAAAAAAACCCAAACAAACAAAAACCCACAAAATCATTAATGCTGTCCAATTTTACATCCAGTACACCTGCCTGGTGTTCATCAAGATAATTTGTGCCCATTGGCTACTTCAAAGTAAAATGCATATCTACGTGTGTATATATATATACATTGTATATATAAAAAACCATTACTTTAAAGTAGGAACTATAATTTTGCCAAGAACAGAGCAGTTGCTGCACTCCTTGCACCCGCCTATAGAATTTTTCTAATTGCTGCCTAGTGAGAGCATTGCATTTCAGAATGGGACACACTGGCAGACTGTGACAGGAAAGGTATTATCTATTAAACCACAACTATATCCCATGGGGGAAGGAAGAGGTTGTCAAATTTTTGAGTACTTGGATCCCTCTTCAAGTGCAGTATTTAAAATATTATTCTGCAGAGACTTCCTTTAGTCATGGGTAGAAGTCAGTATTTTAAAGCCATGCCTACAGTTACTGCTTGTCAGTGAGCTTAAGCACAAGTAGTACCAGCAGCAACAATCTCTGAAAAGAACAGATGACTCCTGCAGTTATTGTAACACTAACAAGGATCAGCATCATTCTTAGGCGCACAGGTTTAACTCTGTTGTGCAAGTCAATAATATAATACTTCCTTCTTTTAAGCTGAAGAGGTACTATACTATTTTTTCTTGTTTTTTTTTTCACTGTTAATTCACTGTTCACTCCAGGTGAGAGGAGTTTCAGCTGACTTGCATGACAACTGCACACAAAATACAGCTCAAAAATGAAAGTTCTTTTGTTTAAGGAGCAGATACTACCTGGAAAGTAGGTTCCACTGCAAAATGCACAGAAAGACAGACACACCCAACCATCCCCCATACTATAGTTTATAGTGCTGTATATGATTAGCAATGAATAACTGTCAACTGGATTATGTTGGAATCCAAATGAAATCCAGGAGGAAATTATTAGAAAAAACAGAATTAAATCTTTTCATAAGACCAGCAGTGGGTTTTCCACTGTGGCAACAAATTTGGAGAGCAGGATTTTACTCACTAAATCACCATATTCTCAGCACAGCAGACAATAAATCTTCAGCTTGTATGTTCCCTACTGCATTTTGTTCAAGTTAGAGAAAGAGAAAACAGATTTAACAAAGGTATTTTTCATTTGTTTTAAGGCAACTTTTGGTTCTTCTGGCCTCAGGAAAGTACTACCCAAGACAATTCAGATTCATAGGAAAGAGATGATGCCAACACATATGTTTACTATAGATAGAGGAAAAAAAATAAAAACACTGACAAAAGAAAATGAACACAGTATTTTCTTTCATATTACACCTACTTTCAAAAGCAATGTATCACTGTAACTGAGCTCCAACTTGAGCTACAAATACTGCTTTATTTTTCACAAGAATTTTCAAGTTGAATCCAGTAGACTGAAATGCTAGATTTGTTCCTTCTTCTGTCACTACCATTTCTGACACTCTTGCCAGCTCTGTGGTTGCCCACCTCATATTCCATTAAAAAAGAAGTTTTAAACTGCAGACTGCAAAATGGCAATTCCCTCCTGCTGCCACTCCTCCTCTTTCCCACAAAGAAATCTACTTTTCTGAGCAATACTGAAGGAGGCAATGTGCCAGAGCATTACTGAGCCTCCTGTCAGGCTTCTGAGTCCTCCCACCCAACTTCGGTCACAGAAATCTATTCATAACCTTATAAACAGCTTTGCTCTCCTGAAGAAAAAGAAAAAAAATAAAGAAAACAAAAGCAGTTTTCTTCAAGGTTTTTGTTTTTCAGTTTTATCATCGTTAGCAGAGTGGGAAAAAGAAAAAAAAAAAAAAAAAGGCACATCCCAAGTTGCAGCACCTCAAGAGCGTCCAATTGTCCCTTGAACCCTGCGCTCGCTAACACACTTCACACCAACCAAGCACCCTCAAGGCCAACAGCCTGCCGGAAGAGGAGGGAGGAAAAAGGGGAGACAGGGAATGAGGTAGAGGGAAGAAGGGGAATAAACAGAGAAAGAGGAAGGGAAACGTAAGAGGGGAAAGGAAGAAAGAAGGAACGGAGAGAAAGAGAGGAAGAAAGTAACGAGGAGCAGAAAGAAGCGTAGAGGCTCAGCGGCCCTCCCGTGCAGCACCTGCCCGGCCACGCCGCCGCTCTCGAAGGAGCGCTCCGCAGGGCACGGAGCTCTTCTCCGGGAACAGCCATGCCCACAGCCTGGCCCGAGCCATCTCCCCCTCCCGGCCCTTCCGCAGCACTCACCTGCGGGGCCGCGCCCGCTTTGTGGCGGCTCGAGGTGTCCTGTTGTGCCGTGCTGAGCCGTGTGTCGGGGGCAGGCAGGGCACCCCGGCAGCGCGGAGCTGCAGATCCCCCCGCTTAAGCAGACTGGCGCTGAGCTCCCGGCCTGGTTCCCACCTCCTCTCGCACCGCCCACCTGCCCTGCCCTGCCCTGCCCTGCCCTGCCCTGCCCTGCCCGGCCCAGCCCAGCCCCTGCCTCTCCTCACTCCCGCCGCCGGCCCCTCTCTCCCCGCGGAGGTGCCGGACTGCCACCCCCCACTTTGGCAGCTGCTCTCCTCTAAACTTAAAAAAAAAAACTACTGTCACTTTCTTAAAGCTTCCGCGGTGGTGCCGGCGCGGGTGAAAACCTCGCAGGAAAGATCGGGAGCCGCTCCCGTGCGGCTCATGGCAACAAAAAGCTTTCTCACTGCTCCCCAGGTCGTCCCGGCTAGTCAAGAGGAGGCAGCAGCACCCTCAAGGGCATGGTCCAAACTACCGATGAGCCCACCGTGCGGTGTGCCTCCCCGGGGGTCGGGAGGAGAACGGGCTCGGTTTGGTTGCGGCATCCGCGCGTTTGCGAGCGGGCACCCGGCGGGCCAGGAGCTCCCGCAGACGGTGGTTTGCCACCTCCCCCCGGCACTGCCGGGCCGCCAGAAACCCGGCTTCTGCAGATAAATGGGTTTGAAATGGGTCAGTGGGTGGAAAAACTGAGAGGACGTAAAGCTGTCCTTCCCTCATTCCAGTTGCGAGCTCCCACTGGAGTTTTATGCATCTGCACGGTAAAGCTGGACCAAGGAGCTGAAAGCTAAGAAAATGAGACGATCTGGTTTCAAGACTGCCACTAGGTGACACTGCCAAGAGAAGGGAGAATTGCCTCTGCATGTCAGCACTTGGATCGAGCGGGTTAGTTTGGGAATGGACTGTGAGACCTCAAATCCGCATTGTCATGTTATCAAGAAGGTTTTCATTGCAGATGGACCTTATCAGTAGGTAGAGAAGTAGCTTGTTACTACATGCTAACAGATGGGGAGAAAAGAGGGGTCTTTCTAGTGTGTTTTTTATAGGGCTGAACCATAGCATGGAGCACTGTACTAAAAAGGCCTTTCCTCTAAACCCTGTAGAGGTTGATGAGTTTCCAACAGGAGTGAGAAATTTGGGAACGGGGAGCAAGATTTCCCATTTGTTTTTCCCAGCTGCAGCCAATGACTGTTTGTGTTGGTCTTGCATGTAAATTAGAACAGCAAGTCACAGGTAGCATGGACTTGAGTGTTTGTTGCCTTGCTAAACCATCTGCAAGGCATCACAGTATTGACACTGCAGCATGAGAAATTGCAAAAGTAAAGCTGAACAGCAAGTGCTCTTAAAAGAGAGTTGGGTAAGCTGTGGGGACAGATGTTTTCTTTCAGTTTTTCGTTCCTCCCTGCCTTAATTACTTACACCGCTACAGATGCAAAGAAGTGTGCTGGATCAAAACAAGCAAAGTACCAGAGTTTTGATGTCTATTGCAGCAGTAACAGAAAGTATGCTCTAAAAACCACTTCCCATGGAAAGGAAAATAAGAGAAGAAAAAAAAAAGGGGGGGGGGGGAGTTAAAGTCATTACTGAAAGTAGTTATTTTGGGTAGATAGCTGAAGTTCAGAAGTCTGTTATTCTCTATCTTTTGAACAGATAAAAAGCTAAGTTCTTTGTACGTTGATGAGAGAGGTCCTGATCTTTGGCTGACCATGCTGGCGAAGATACATTGTTTGTTTTTGCAGCTTTGTGACATTTCAAGGACTCTGTTTGAGTTATGGTTCCTTTCATGGATTTTTGTCAACTGATCCTGAAAGAAAATGGTTTAAATGGGTTTGCACCTGGGTTTTGCTCTTCTAACCTTGAGGCTGGAATACGAAGACACCAGGGTTCACAGGCTGCCCTTCCTGCTATGTGATAGACCACTGAGAGATATGACTGTATGGCAACTCTGAAACAAAGTAAAGTAAAAAAGAAAAAGGAGGTGTCAAGAATTTTGGGAGTACTAATACAGGAATTAAATAAATGGAAGAAGTGGAACTTGGAGACAAAATACAGACAAAAGTGAAGAGAAAGCAAGTCACAGATATGAGATATTGAAATTGCATAATCAATTTTTTTTGTAAATCTTGTCTGGTTTGCATGAAATTGGTACATGAATATTTGATAGTTGTGGTAAGACCAACAATCCAGTGAGAACAAGGTATAGAGAAAACATAATTGAGAAGTTTCAAGAACAGTTTTCTGTGCATAGCTAAACATACATAGTTATGGTGCAGGAGAACTAAACTATATTTACAGCTTAAATACATTTTCACTAGGAGGACATCTGTCTCATAGGTATGCTTGCTCTAAATTGATATTAGTATCTCTTTTGTCATTTGACAGCTTCCTCCAGGCTTTTAGGCTATTTCTGGGAAACATAAAGAATACAAACATTATAAAAGACCTTCATACCTTTATGCTCTGTCAAAAGTTTAAGCTTCAAAGAAGTTTTTAAACCTAACGGTTCCTGATCATTCTTCTATATCTTCTCAGTTTTACTGGTTTAAGGCAGTAAAAGTTTCCTTTTTATGAAAAGCCAGATAGTGTTTTAGCCTATTGTAATGTTAATAGCTTCTCTGCTAAACTTTTCAAAAGATCACTTGTCTGGGTTTTTGTATCTAATAAATGTAACCCCAATATTTGTTTCTTGAGATAGTTCAGATCTAACATTGGGAAGATGCTACATGCTAACACCTAACCTGAGGTAAACAAAGGATCCTAATCAGACTTTGAATTCTGCTAGCGCTTGAAGTTTTCTTTATATGGAGACTGTGCCTTTTCTACATTATCCTTCTCCAAGGAAAGAGTTGCTACAATACAGAAATTTGTATTATCTTTTCTCTAAACATCTCTAGTAACATTTCCCTTTGCTGTAAAATTTATGAAACTCAGTGTTCTTGCCCAGATTCCCTATCGCTTGCTTTCTGCCTGAGTGGGGAAAAAAATAATTCTAACCTTCAATTTGCAGATGAACTCTTGAAAGCTATGCCTTGGCATAAATCAGAGGGGGAGAGTCAGAAATGCAAACACTGTGTGTGGAAAGAAAAACAGGCCTGAAGAAGATGACCACAGCTTCAAAAACCACTTTAGCGCAAAATGTTGTCTGACAGAAAGAAGACACCTCACTCTAAGAAAATATATCTGAAACAAACTATAGCATATTTCTCTTTGGAACAAAATATTTTCTGATATGGGTGAGTATTCATTTGTGGAGATGAGCATGTCTTATGCCAGAAGTTAAAGGAGGGTCATATTTTCTTCCTCAGGATATGTGTAATGAATACTAGAAGTACTCTTTCATTGTACCAGTTTTGTGTTTACACAGAACTGTTGTAGTTTTTGAGAGGCAAATTCTTCAGATAAGTTTAAAATAAGTTTAATATGAATAAACCGTGTCAGTACTGCATGATCTATACCACCTGTGGCAAACTTCCTTCAAGATGCTGGCAGTTAGTTCTAATTGCAGAATCAAAAACAAGAGTGGAGCAGATTGCAGGTGTGAGTTGCCAAAATTAGCTGTAAAATGTACACTGGGAAATTAAGAACCTCTCGTGCCACTGTGATGGGTTTGACTTTGGCTTGCTGCCAGATGCCTACCCAGAGCTTTCTTACTCTGCCTCCTCAACAGGGTACAGGGAGAAGACAAGATGGAAAAGCTCACGGGTCTGAACAAAGACAGAGAGATTGCTTACCAGTTGCCATCATGGTCAGAACAGACTCAACTGCTGATTAAAAATAGAGTGGAATGGTGAGAAACAAGGATAAAATGAAAACTTCTTTCCCCCTAAACCTTCTGACTTCTTCCAGGGACAATTTCATTCCTTAATTTCTGACTCTTTTACCTCTTTGCCCATGAGTGGTGCAGGTGGAGGAGGACTGAGGGTTGTGTTCAGTCCATAACAGTGCCTCCCTGCCGTTCCATCCTGTTCACATCTGGAGCACTTTCTCCCCCTCTTTCTTCACTGACCTTGGTGTTTCTGCAGGGCTGCTTCTCCTATGTTTTTCTTACTCCTCTCTCTCACAGGTGCCATGCATCATATTTTATTGTTTCTTAAATATGTTATCTAAGAGGTGCCACTAGTGTCACTGATGAGCTCAGCTTTTGCCAGCATTGGGTTCATCTTGGAGTCATCTGGAAGCAGCTGCATCCAGCATGAGGCATCCCCTGTTCTCTTCTTGCAGAAGCAGCTGTGTGTGTCACCTCCCCCCCTTCTCCCCTGCCCTCAACCATAAGAAGAATCAGTCAAGTTCCTCCTAAGACACTAACAAATTAGACAAACTTCAACCTTTAAAACTTTTCCAAATTTTATCTACGAAAAGTATCAATTGTCTTAGACAGCCCCCTCTTCCAAAGTAAAAATAAAGGAATACCATTGTTACGTATATAAATATAAACACATATATACCTGCAAACATAGATGAGTATGTATACACAAGGAATTCTGGACTAATGTTTGGGTTGGTTTCACTTCTCCTCTACACTTCTGAAACATTTCATGAATTTCAGAGCCTGATCTCACAGTTGCTTTAAGTGCAGGCTTCTGGCAGGATTGCAGGCTCTGTATCTGCAATGCTCTGCTCAAGCCCTTCCTTTGACTTTCCATCATCTATTGACTATTTCATAGACCAAACTTCCATTTAAGTTTGTTTCATTTCTCCTTCCTCCCTTTGTTGAACATAGTCTGTTGTTACAGCTTTGCGGTAGGTTGACCCCACCTGGACGCCAAGTGCCCACCAAAGCTGCCCTCCTCAGCTGGACACAGGAGAGAAATACATAACAAAAAGCTAAGGTCAGGGAGAGATCATTCACCAATTGCCATCACAGGCAGAACAGACTGACTCAGGGAAATTAATTTATTACCAGTCAAATCAGAGTAGGCTAATGAGAAATAAAACCATCCCCCAATCCATCCCTTCTTCCCAGGCTCTACTTTACTCCCAATTTTCTCTGCCTTCTCTCCCCAGCAGGGAAAGGGGACAGGGAATGGGGGTTGCAGTCCGTTCATCAAGTGGGTTGCAGTCAGTTCATCAAGTTTCTGCTGTTCCTTCCTCCTCAGGGGGGACTCCTCACACTCTTCCGCTGCTCCAGACTGGGTCCCTCATCAGGTCACAAGTCCTGCTAGCAAACCTACTCCAGTGTGGGCTCCTCTCTCTGTGGGTCCACAGATCCTGGCAGGAGCCTGCTCCAGCAGTCCATGGGGTCACAGCATCCTTAAGGAATCTTCCTGCTCCAGTGTGAGGCCCTCCATGGGCTGCAGGTGAGTATCTGCCCCATGGACCTCCAAGGGTTGCAGGGGCACAGTCTGCCTCACCATGGGCTTCACCACTGGTTTAACCATGGGTTGCAGGGGAATCTCTGCTCCTGTGCATGGAGCACCTCCTTCCCTTCCTTTTTCACTGACCTTGGTTCTGCAGAGCTGTTTCTGTCACACTTACTCCTCTTTCTCCCACTGCAACTGGGAGAGTTGCTGCTGTGCAGCAACTTTTTCCACTTGTTAAATATGCTATCTCAGAACCACTACCATCATTGCTGGCACTCATGGGCTCAGCCTTGGCCAGCAGTGTGTCCATCTTGGAGCCGTCTTGGCACTATTGCACATGGAGGAAGCTTCTGGCATTTCCTCGCAAGAAGCCACCCCTGTAGCCCCAACTGCCAAAATCTTGCCATGCAAACCCAGTACAAGCTGTGAGGAATAATTCTACAAGGATCTGCTTTATAGTCTGTAGTATTCATGTTTTGCTGGATAAACATCTATTTCCATTAGAAATGGTTTAAACTCATGTGATCTTATGTTACAAGAGCAGCATCTCTGATTTAGTTGTTTTTACAATTACAATATTTTGCCATTAACTGCCATTAGCTGCTTCATAAACTGGTAGTCTGGTGCTTAGCCTATTTGCATTTTATCGGTATAACATATACAGCTAGTATGATTTCATGCTAAATTGTCTGGTATTGCTATGTGTAGGTAAAGGTTAAAAAGAATTCAGTATCAACACTTTTTTTTGCAGCATATCCAAACAAATTAATGCCACCTTAGAACCATGAACCTGAAGTTGCTTTAGATGTTACTTGTATGTACAGCATTCATCTCTTGTCTTTACTTTGTTCCTTCTTTATCACATCAAGATTTCAACATCTACTCACAATTTCCCCCCCATTACATTCTTTATGACATTTTGTCTGATTTCTGTGAAATAGGAAGTACTTTTGTTATTTCTGATTTTTTTTTCCAGTTAAATTTTCACTGTACATTATCTGTTATTGTGGGTTCCTTTTTTATAGCAGGGTTGCTCTGTTACCTGGGATCAGCTGAAATTTTTTCAAGCAGTAAGCTATTTTTAATGAAAATTTGCTCTGCTGGAAACAGAATGTCCTGCTCTATTTCTCTGGGCAGCCAGTCTCCCTGTACAACACCTCCATAGAAGTACCCTATATGTGATTGCTGAGAAACCGCAAAAGTATGAGATCTGAACACATGCATTTTCCAGTGCTCCCATGGGAGTTCTTTTTTTTTTATGTCAGCTACGAATAAAATTTACAGACTGATATTTTCCATTGCTAGACTAGATGCTCCATTCCCTAAGGGAATTGCAATCTGTGTATTTCCATGTGTTAGGAATTGTTAGGATTAATAGCCTTGCTTAGCACTTGAAACTGCAGTACTTGAAACCTTATGTTAGAAAAACTGTCCAAGGATAAAATTTTGGATAAAGCTAATATTGCAACCACAAGAATAGCTGAAACCTTGAAACCCGCAGAAACAAGCAGAATTAAGAAGATAAAAGACCAGGGAAACAATTCTGAGAAAATGTGCTAACTTCAGAAGAAGGCCAGCCCAGGAACCAAGAAAAATAATAAGAAATCAAGACACTACTGACCAGAATTAAGTGATTGAACGTGGGCATTAAATAATGGGTGATGCATGCCAGGAATCTATCTGTAAGGGTGTAATTAGGGTGCATGGTCTGCAATAGTGTTCCTCCTTTGAGGCACCCAGCTTGAGCTGCTCTGCATGTTAGATAAATAAACCACTTATTTACCTAGCAGATTGCCAACTTGTCTTCTTTGAGGAGGAAGCTAAGGCCAAGCCCTGCTGAGCTGGCATTCACATAATTACTAACATGGACTAGGTGGTGGCTGTGTAATTCCTGTAACATAAAATTACCCTTAACTTCTATATTTAATACACATGAATCTATTATAAGAATTGTCCCTTGGTGTATGATCTAATTATTGCCTGTTTGTGACTTTACTGTAAACTAGACCTCACATAATCATATGCACATTACCATAAACCACAACAGGTTTATTCATATTAGTAGGTACAACTGACTATTGAACAGTTACTAGAACCAGTACTAGTGTACCATAGAATAAGAGCATACTTTCATTTTTATTAGGAATTTCATCTTTGTCTAGAGGCTTTTGCAGATAGCTTAAGCTCTTGGAAATGTAGCAGTTTTGTCAAAATGACGGATACCACTACAACATGCATTTTTTTGTACACTTTATACAGTCTTTTACAGTACCCTTTCCAAACCCATCCTATTGGCTTTTTTTTTTTTTTCCCAGACTTAAGTTTCCAAATCTGTCTTGTTTCTTTGTGTTCCCAAGAGGTAGTGGTTTGGTCATGTAGTCCATTATTGCTCTGCCCTGGAGGTTAAATGTGGGGTCCTAATTACAGCCTAGTCAATTTACATTCTGCAATTTGCCATATATTTTTTTTTTCTTTTATTCTAAGTTTAAGTATGGGTTATCTGTAAACATTTTCTTAGGTTTGAGTGTCTCATGTCTGTTGTGAACAGATGCTGATCAGGGGTTCCCTAACACTTTAGGACTGCTTATAAAACTGAGGTCTCTTGTAAGAACTTTTTAAGTTTCCTTTTCATACCTGATCCTTTTTAACCTTCATACTTTCTAGGTCAAGAATACTTATCACCTTTCTAAGTACCTTTCTTAGTAACTTTCTGATATTTTCCATTACTGGACTAGGTGCGCCATTCCCTTAGGGAATTGTAATCTGTATATTTCCAAGTGTTGATATAGTCTGATAAACATGCAGTTTCACTTCTGTATCAATTATTAAAGGAATCTCTAATACCCAGAACAAAACCCCTTTCTACTTGCGTGTTTTCAGCAGCTCTGTGGAGCCTTCCTGAGGGACAAAATTCCTTTAGGATCTCTTTGCAATTTTTTCTATTGGTCTTTCTTTTCCTAAGCCCAGTCTTATCATGTGGTGTTCACACCACCTGTGTTAGGTGTTTTGTGGCAGAGGTAAATATAAAAACAACCAACCAACCAAAACGCAAGAATCATTTATGTCTTGATTCATTCTTGCTGTCAAGAAAGAAAGGGTTTAATTTCTTGCTCTCAGTAGTAAGTGGTCAAGAGCAGCTCTGTTCTCTTAAAAGGTTTTCAGTCCTCAGAAGAATGAAACACCACACCTTTTTCCCCTTTTTCCTTGAGAGAATTCCAGAGTTATCTTACACCACTGGTAACCCCTTGAAATAGTGAAACAACTCTATATAAGGAAGATATCTGTAAAAATAAATACATAAGTACATAAAGATACAAACAAGCCTGACCAATCTTGAACACAAGTTTTGATATTTGCACTATAATGTAAAAAGCTTTGGTAGAGAAAACTATTATAAATAAATATTCTGACATGTTTTTTGTGCCTTGGCTTGCTGGCACATGCCTTAAAGTCATTTCTGTAGCTCTGCTAGGAAGAAGGATTGTTACCACCCTGGAATAAAAACAAATTTCCTTCAAGATCCATACATGAAGATTGAAACTGCAACATCAGAAAGACTCATTGTCCTGCACAAAGGCTTCTTGGCTCAGATATCTTCATTTAATCCATCTATTTAACCTTCTATCTACTCTTAATGTTATTTGATCTGTCAGTTGGCTGCTCTTTGTACCTTAGGATAATGTTCACCAAAAAGGGTTTAAACCAGCACTGGAAATCAATGGACATAGTTTTAATTTACTGAGAAATCATCCA